AAAAAAAATTCTAGAAAAAAAAAGCGTTGGGTCAGCAGGAGAGAAAGAACAATTAATCTAGGGGGTGGGAGAGGAGCCATCGTGAGACAGCTTCAAAGACTGGGTGACATTTGAGCTGGTTCTTGAAGAATGGGGGCACGGCACCCTTCCTAGCATGCCAGGCTTCAAGGCCAGTGTCCAAGAAGACAAATAATTGGGCCCTGAAGCTTAGAACGTGCAGTTAAGTTATACTGTTACAGATTTAAAAACTTCACTTCTTTCCAACTCACCACTCTGAAGCAAGATAAGGCACGTCCGTCTACAGAAGGGACCAGCTTCTTCCCTACCTGTGCCCAGCTGGCCCACCCTCAGTTTATCAGGATGGTTTCAATTCATTCCTGGATCTGAGACCTCAAGGTGGAGAACACTTCACAGACACAAATGCGTGTTAAGAGCGTATCTGGGGACAGATCTGCATTTCAGTCGGGGATTAAATAACTGGCTACAAATGACGCTGAATGCCTAGAATGTCCTGGGTTAAATGACTGTTAATAAAAGTTCAGAGAAGAACTGTCTTTTAAGGAAACACGATTCAGGAATAAGAAAATGAAGAAACATCTCGGAACCTGCCCCTGACGCCTCTTCGCTATTTCTGTTGTCATTCTGATGCTACTGAGGCTGTGCCATTTAGCAATGCTATGGGGCCCCCCACGGACCTCAAATGATGAACAAGGAGACTTTAGAAATAAGTAATGTCAGCTGTCAAAGTTCACCACCCTGCCATGAAGGGGTCGTGACAGTGATAAAGCCCTAAACAGATACCTTGCTATGTTCTGTGCTCTATTTTGGAACAGCACAATGGTTCGCAAACTGAAGCATGCCTCAGTGTGCCCTGGGGGCTTAATAAAGTACAGACTGCCTGGTCCCACGTCCAGAGTTTCTGATTCAGTGGGTCTGGGGTAGTGGCTTCGGAATTTGCATTTTCAGTAAGTTCCCAGTTGACAGTGAGGATTGCTGGTCTGGAGATCACATTTTGCAAACCATGCGAAGAGGAAATCCCATGTAATGTATATAAATAAAACAAACAAACCTTGGAACAGTAAGTTGAGTTGCAACTTAAGAACTTACAGGTGAATCCAACAGTATTATTAGTGACAGGACTCTGAACTCACTTGGAATCCATCTTGGTCACCTTCTTGGTGAAAAATTCATCCACACCTTCGTCCACTCTCCCCATGAGGCCGTTCTGTTCCCCATCTTGGGAGACTATGCTGGAAGCGCAGACCTGCTGACCAAACGGGAGAAATGGCAATTTACGGTCAACGTCACGCGGCAAACATGACCGTCGCATTCGAGGCACCGCGACAGGGGCCCCGGGAAGGACAGGACTGGCTGAGCAGGGCCCTCACGTGCTACGGGAATGCAAATCGCGTGTACAACTGTGGCAAGGGCAAGAGGCGACAAAAGTGAGGAATGCACCAGGACCGCAGAGCCTGGTGCGGGGTTGACGCTGGTGGGCACGTCAGAGGCGGTGGCTGGGAAGAGCCCAGCTTCCTACAGGCGGAGAGAGCATTGCAGGTGATCTGAGGGCAAAGGGAATGCACGGAAAAAAGGCGGCAGGTGCTAGGGTCTGACTGGAGATGACCCCAGGGGCCAGGGGCCAGCGGAGCGTGGGTGGGTTCAGCTGCTAAGCACAAACCCCGGCAGACGCGAACAGGGGCCACTCGGGTCCCCTCCCCTGCTTCCTTGCTTTCTTGCGGGAAGAAGCCTGATTTCAAGGAGTGAGTACTTATTTGTAGAAGCCAAACCCCATAATTGTATCGCCTGTGACTGGTAGGCATGGTGTAGGATACGATGCTGGTGAGACAGAAGGGAAATCTGCCAGGGGCTTGGGAGCACGGTTTGCTGCAGACAGAGTATATTTTTTCTGCCTGGTTATACGTGGGAGGACGTGATGTGTGAGCTGCAGCGGCCACCTGGGGCTCGAGGGGGTACAAGCCTGAGGACAAAAGCCAACATGTGGAGGACGACCGAGCAGACGGCAGAAAACATCCAGGTGCTGGAGCTTTGCTGCTGAATAAGCCAGTCCTTGATCCTGAGACTTCTGGGTTTCTTGTTGAGAAAATCAGGATTTCTCACTGTCGAAGCCATCTTTAGTCGCATATCATTATCTCTAGCTGAACGAATGCTTTCCAACTAATGATACAAGGACCAATGGTGAACAGTCTTGAATCTCGCACGAAAGAGTGTGGAATTCACTCCGTAGGCGATAGGGACCCCACAGAAGCGTGGCACGGCCCAACCTGTATTTTGCTTAGATAATTCTAGAGCAGCATGAAGTTGGAGAAGCCAGGGACTGTAAGTAGGGGAATCTGATTTTTTTTTTTACATTTATTCATTTTTTGAGAGACAGAGACTGAGTGAGAACATGCAGGGGGAGACAGGGAGACACAGAACCCGAAGCAGACTCCAAGCTCTGAACTGTCAGCACAGAGCTGGATGCGGGGCTCGAACCCACGAACCGTGAGATCATGACCTGAGCCGAAGTCGGACGCTTAACCGACTGAGCCCCCCGGGCACCTCTGTAAGTAGGGGAATCTGTTCAGGAACACAAAAGAGAGATTCCTGTAATAGTCTGGTCTGATCTGGAGGAGGTGAGGGGCAAATTAAGGCCTGGAGAAATGAGACTACCAAGAAAGGAGCTGCCTCAGATGATGTCGAAGTTTCTAGGCTGGGTGAATGGGAGCATGATTCTAGGGAACATAGGTCAAAAGGCCAGATTTGGAAAAGACGACGATGAGTGCAATTTCTGACAAGCATCTGAGGTGCTGGGGGAAACCCAGGGTCAGGGGTCCAGCAGACGCTTCAAAGCTTGGGTCTCAGGAGAGGAAATCACTTACCAAGTTAGCAACTGTCTTTGAATGGAAATCTCACAGTGAGCTCAGCAATATGTCTGATTTGTGTCTGCAATGGTGTATTAGGTCAATATTTTACACCCAGCGGTTGCAGGCCCTTGAGAAAGAGGGCTTGTCTTGCCCATTTCTTTGGGCACAAGGGCAAATTCTCCTGCGGCTGGGCTATCTGGTCTGGAGGTCTTGCCACAGAGTGGTGGGGAAGTGGCTTTCTGTAATCCTGATGTGCAAGTGTCAAGTTGCCTCTAGGGAAACTTGGCTGAGGTCTGCAAAGACCTCTGTGTGTGCTGTTTAAAGAAAAAACCGATCATTTGCTTTAGGCAGTTATATCCATTTCACTCGCTGGGAAATCTCCATTATGAATGTGAGCCGCGTGTTTGAGCTCATGTTTGCCAACCGCTGAACATGAGCAGATAACAGATACGGGACAAAAGGACGCTGTGAATAAAAACAATTCTATTTCTCCTCGGGATGGTGCTTTGTATCGGAGCAAGGCTTTCCCGGGTCTTCCAACAGAGCAAACAATCAGCCGAGTTGTAGAATTCAGCTACGGCCAGAGAGCTCACGAGTAACTTTTACCACAGAAGGGCAAGGAGCACCGAACTGGCTCAGGGTTAGCACTTTTCCTCTTGTAAAACAATGGAGGGGGGCTCTCCATGGTAATAATGGTTCCCTGTGTTTGTACGATGCTTCATGGTTTACACGTGTCTTGCACCGTATGACTTCATTTTCATTTGTACCTTCTGCACTGAAAAGGAAAGATAGTTTTATCGTAGTATTTGGTTAGTCACAGCAAACAGGGGGCTCAGAGGGCGAGGGGGACCCACGCAGGTCACCTGAATGATGGATGGGAAGGGTAGGAGCCCAGGACGTACGGTCCTAACACGGGCCTTCCGTCCAGTGCGCCCACGCTTCCCCTCCGAGGCTTCCTCTCAAATTCCCTTTCCCATTCTGAAAAAAGAAAATTACTTTCTACTAGCATAAATTTCTCCTCTAAGCCCTTTCCTTGCTTCCTGCTTTGACATGGAATTCACCGCTAGCACAGCAAGTTCTCTGGGGTCAGGGAGGAAGGACATCGATGGGTTTCAGTCATGGAGGTCCACGGGGCCCAACAAGCAGCCTGCTTTCCTGTAGGACGAGTGCCTTCAGGGCTGGGTGGACCACACAGGTGATCCCCCAGGCCGACCGGGTCACGCGAGACACGAAGACACTGCGAGCAGAGAGGTTATGGGAAGTCCGGGATCACCAGGAGACCTTCCAGGGGATGTGGTTTAAAATGCATCGGTTAAGATAGGAAGTGGCGATGTCGGCAGCTTGTATGAAGAGCGGCACAAAAACCGAACGTAAAAAGGAAATACAGTTTGTCAAAACGGTTCGAGGTCAAACACACACGCCGTTTCAGCTCAATTTCTAGCAAAAGGAAAGGAAAGGGACATACAGACATCAGAAGTTCTCCAAATCCGATTTGACTTTGGTCTTTGTATCAAGGAGAATACATTTCAGGCTAAAAAGTGTGGCACGGGGACGCCTGGGTGGCTCAGTCGGTTAAGCGTCCAACTCTTGACTTTGGCTCAGGTCACGGTCTTCACGGTCTGTGAGTTCGAGCCCCGCATCGGGCTCTGTGCTGACAGTGCTGAGCCTGCTTGGATTCTCTTTCTCCTCTCTCTCTCTGCCCCTCCCTGCCTCTGTTTCTCAAAATAAATAAACTTAAAAAAAATTTCTTTTTCATTTAAAAAATTAAATAAAAAAATAAGTAAAAAGCGTCGTGTAGTTACTGGGAGAGGGGAGCAGAAGCCCCCTCCCCAGCCAGTCGGAACAGATTGCATCTGTACTCACAGAAAGGCTCTGCAAACAAAACAGGGCATCGGAATGGCTGCTGGCGGTATTTGAAAAATCAAGAAGGTAGATTTTGCGCCTCTGGGGGATGAATACAGGCTAAAAGGACCATTTGTGAGTGCTTAGAGGATAAGCCGGTGATTATGAGCACTAATGACAATTCAGACCACCCTCCGCCAGGATTATGAAGATGAACGTGCCAGGGAGACACCGTGGGTGGTGCACCTGGCTTCTGACAGGAGCTGTCAGACCTCTAGTAATGTCTCCACAGGCCGCACGGAGAGAGATGGGCAGGAAGGAAGGACAATTAGTGTATTATTAGTAACTCTGAACACAAACACACACAGAGCGCTAATTAGCGAGCTGAACAGTCCTGGAATTTTACATGCATACATTAGGCAGTAAGAAACAGGCAGCAGTGAGAGCTAAGCGGTCAGATCAGGAAATAAGGGACCTAAAAGACATAAAATGAAGGAACTATAATAAAAACGTAAGGCAAAAATTAATGAGCTTAAGAGGACTAATAAAACTAAAAGATGATTCTCCAAAAAAAGACTAATAAAAGAGCGAGCCTCACAAAATTAGGAGAGAAGCATGAAACTATATCAGAAATGAAAAAAAAACATGGGGCACAGAAACACGATACGGGAGAGATTAAAAAGTTATGAGAATTCTATACACGACTAAATGAACGATTAGACTAAGTGGACAAAATCCTAGAAAAATATGAATGGCCAAAATGGTCTCAAGGAGAATTAGGTAATCTGATTAGATCTATAACAAAAGGCATCAAATCCCTACGAAAGGAATTCTGCACAGAAGTATCACCTGCGCACACACAACACATCGGGCCCAGATGGCTCCCCAGGAGAGGAACAGAAAATCTCTGCTGTGTACAAACTGTCCCAGAGAATAGGAAAGGAGAATTTCTGAACTAATTTTATGAAGATGGTATAATTCTGAAACCCAAAGCAGATGGATGGTCTAGACGAGAATAAGAAAACTATAGATCTCTCTTCTTTACGCACATAGATTAAAAAATCCCAATAAAATATGGTAAACAAAGTCCAGCAGTATATTAAAACAAAGCAAGAATATACACCTGAAACGAATATAACACTGTATGTTAATTATACTAGGATTAAATAAAAAAGCAAGAGTATCATGATTATTAAGAATGGTATACAACATTAGAAAGGTTGGTCAGTGCAATTCACCACGACAGCAAAACAAAAGAGAAAAATAAATGACCAATTTCCAGAACTACTGAAGAAAAAGCCAATCAAATTAAACTGCTATTCATTGAAAACAAATGTAGCAAACTAGGAAGGAAACTTTCTCAACTGATTAAATAACCACAGAAATGGCTACATGCGCCTACCCAGTTTGTATGCTCTCCTCTACTCAGTATCAAAACCCGACCAAGTGAAACACATTATCTTCCCAGATGTTCTTGCACCTGAGGCTCGAAATACGGCTCATCACATGCCTGAGAGTAAAACCAATACCAGTCACTGAGGTGGTTACAGCTATTAAAAAACTCACTCTCACCACGTTTACTCAACACAGTACTGAAAGTCCTGGCCACAGCAATCGGACAACAAAAAGAAATAAAAGGCATCCAAAGTGGTGGAAGAAATACAGCTTTCACTAGACATGATACTATACATAGAAAAATTGCTAAAGATTCCACCAAACAATTATTAGAACTGATAAATGAATTCAGTAAGGTTGCAGGATACCAAATCAATATACAGAAATCTACTGCATTTCCATACACTAATAATAATGTAGCAGAAAGAGAAA